AAAGTTAATGTATCTATCTCTAGTTAAATAGCTAGTGTAGGATTGAAATGGCGCAGGATAGGCACGCTTAAAAAGCGTTCTATTAGTTATTAGACACGCCTATTGATTTACTGGATGTTGAAGTGCCGGATCGCCTATAGATACTATCTGCCGTTGGACGCTTCTGTCCGCTGCGAGACGTAGCCGTTAGTGTGCCCATTATAGTAATAGTTCTAGTGCCAGTGTCGCCGCCATGGAGGTGCTCTTGGCACCCATACCAGATCCAGTCTTATACTGGATCTGACAGTATTAGGCCGTTGTTTAGGATGTTATAATAAACCATAATCAATCTAAGGATATGTAGTTGATTCCAAGTCTATTTATAAGAAGCTCACTATAGAAGTCCTAGGTCCTAGTAACCAAATTCATATTCATAAGTTTCGTACAAGGATTGCTTAACGGACAGTCTACAGCGTTTTCCTAATAAAGTGGATGGGGGCGGAACTGGAAAGGACTAGCGTCGTCTACTAGGGTAAGCCCGGCCCTAGAGTCCGGTGGCGTGTGCTGACATCTAAAATAGGCTTCAAGCGCTTTAATAAAAGCTCCCTAAGCGCCACTTATTGTCTTCACTCTCCCTATCGCATCACCTTCAATATAATGGCATCTTTTTCTGGCTGTGCCCCAGAACTCATCGACTCCATTCTCCAGCACCTGTCGTTCCGCGACCTACTCGCTGTGAGTATCGTGAGCAAGCGGCTACATAAATGCGTAACGCCGTTACTCTATTCACAAATCGACATGACTGTACATCGAGATAACCCTCGCTCGATAATTCACCTTTGTCGAAGCATTTTCAATAGGCCTGAGCTGGCGGCACATGTCGACGCCGTGCGTTTGCGCGATAGCGAATGTTTCAGTCGATGGACACATTTTTCTATGAACAAACCACCTGAAGCTTCTCCGCCGCGGCCAAACGATGAGGATGGAATGTCTAAATTTGTGCCCTTCATCTCGCGTTCTGGTCTTGCATATGCCGACATCTGGACGGAAAAATTGCGTTCAGGCGACCTGAACGCTTTTGTCGCATTGTTTCTGTCAAGACTGCCCAGGATTAAGAGCTTCCGCGTCGGAAATATGGTCGTATTACCAGACCACGAGAAAAAGCAACAAGGTAGAGATGCCCCAACGGAAGCGCGGGACATGGAGAATCAATTCCTTGGAAAAGTTTTCCAGTCCGCTGTTTTTGACTCATCGAATCACGGCATTTCTCGGTTCCGACATCTCCAACATATCTCCTATCCTTGGCTTCTGAACCCATGGCCTGGGAAAAATCCGGATTTTTGCAAACCCAAGGACATGATGGCTCTTCTAAGCCTTCCGTCAGTGCGCAGTATCTCGGGCTGGTGCCTAAACCCCGAATCGCTCCCGTTCAGTTGGCCAACAGGCCCACCGGAGCTGGCTTACCTCACATCACTATCTCTGATACACGTCCGACACGACTTTCTTGGACAGATTCTTGAGAGAACTCGGGTTCTGAAAAAGCTACGCTGGGTCTGGAGCCACACACCTTATCTCGACCCGCTGAACACTGATATACTGGATCTGGATAGACTTACTGGAGCATTGCTAGTAGTCCAAAACACTCTCGAGGATCTTGTTATCAGTACCGACGCGGGACCTACGTGGGATGATCCCGACTTTCAGGATATAGACATTTGCGGTTCTCTGAATGGTCTGCGTAACATGGTCAACATTAAGCGATTCAAAGTACCATTCGCACTGTTGCTTTCAGACGTATATAACCCGAGTGATTCGTATACAGGACGACTGGAGGACAGTATACCTCCTAATGTTGAGGTGGTGACATTTAGCGATAACTACACAGGTTTTAACCAGGGTTTCGGCAGTCGACTTCACGAATGGCCCAAGATTGCATCCTGGCTTTTGGAGACTGCATGGAAGACTACACCGTGTCTCAAGGAGGTCTGCATGTTTTTGAAACCATACTCCCCCAGAGGCCCATCTCATGAGCTTCATAAACTTGAGGAAATATTCGAAGGAACAGATGTGTTATATAACATCAAACACGAGAGCAAGGATTCGCAGCGATGGGACTAGGACATATAGACTAGAAATAGGGTTAGAGGTACCCACTGGAAGATTGCTCAATTCACACTAATGTTTTTCTTCTTTTGTTGGATTATAGGAGGGCATTAACGTACCTCACGGGCGAGCTGGCCACACGGGCGAGCTGGCCACACGGGCGAGCTGGCCACTATGCCAAGACCCCACCAAATGGCAGCCAACAGCAGTTAATAGTAGCCTATAGTAGTTATTAGCTACTATTAGCAGCTAATAGAATTAATTAGATACTACTTCTATATCTTTCTCATAGGTGCGTAAATTATGCCTAGTCTTACTATAGCATCTATAGCGCCTTTATATAGGCTTACCCTTATTAATATATACCTTCTTCTTTACCTTCTTCCCATTACTACGCGCTATAAAGTCCTTTAGC